CAACGTTACAAGGACTTTGATTCCTCGTGGCTCTTATTTTTTAAATAAATATTATGCGCACAGTGTGGAGCTCACAGGCAATTTGAATTACCTGTACCAGGGGGGGAAGTAGCAGGAGAGTTGGTAAATTATTCTCTGCCTTAGTACCTGCTGTGCTGCTACTTCTGGCTCGACGTTCTCAACTGTGTTGCACTTCGATTATGTTATGAATTGATCATTACATATTCTTTTTGTGTTGTTTCAATACCTGTGAACATTCGTAGAATTAATTTATTGCCTGAACTGCTATTCAACATTCTTCTTTCAAAGACTTCGGCACTTAGCAACAAGTGCTTCGGCTGAGAGGTAGACATAGTTTGGATGCAGTTTGAATAGGGCTCAACAGAATTAAGACATTTATGACATTAAGACATTTTTAAAGATTTTAATGCAAAAAAGGCATTGGTGTAATATAGTCTTTTGCCACTAATTTGTGTATTAAGTGTAGGTTTTTGCCGTTATAAAATCCATATCAATTAATGTATTAAAACTATTTGATGTTTTGAAAAACTTTAATCCTCACATTTTTATCAGTGGCATTCCGAAATTGTCTGCTCCCTCAAGACATAGCTTGAATAAAGTTCTTACAGAATATCTGTATGGTGAAAAAAATATTGGAACGAGATTTTCCTAAAAGTGGATGTAAAAATAGTTGTTGACGTCTGATGGGCCTGCTGTATGGATACTATATGTCCGCCTCCCAAAAGCCATTGAAGACTTCACGTGGCCTTGCAACTATGAATCAGAGTTTTTATACCAGAATCTCCCATACGTTCGTGTCAATGTGTGTATGAAAGAAACCTAATAAAAATCCACCGAATGACCTAACCTATTTGCTTATAACGCACAACTGAATCAAATTTAGCAAAAATAAACAAAAGAAGATTTCGCAAATAATTATAAGCAAAGTGAAAGGGATGTTAGCATCGGGGTGCTAAGCTTTTGTATGACGTTTTATGGCCAAGCAGTATAGGAATGTTGATAGCTGCACATCGTACTGTTATAATATTGCCTATAAAAAGAAACATTTCTGGTCAGTAAATTATATTCTTTTTCACTGCAGAGCCGTTGCTGCTAGTGTGCAACAATTATTCTGGCAATCAGGCTGGGACCTGTGTCACAGGGCCTGCTGGACAATGCCCACAAGGATGTGGTGGCTTAATACACACATCGCATCTGCCGTAACCGCAAGGCCAGCTAGGAATCCGATAGTTCGGCAAGTAGCCTTTTTGTATCTCGGGCCAAGTCATGTTCATGTCTGCAGATCAGATGAATTGAACTCTAAAGCTGAGGGCTTTCAATCCTATGTTGAGTATTTGGAGCTTCGAGGCAAATGAAATACCTGAATAGAAGTTGTGACTATTTTTACCAAGAATCGGCACTGAAGCATATGAAATTCACAAAAATTTGGTTCTGTCATTGCCAAGAGAAAGGTCTTTGTGAAAGTAAGAGAACTAGTTCAAATTCACTGCTGCTCGAAAATGTCTGTAATTGTGGAAAGGTGTAAATTAAGTCATAAATTTCTTCTTCACAATGCAAGTGAGAAAGATTTGTAATAGATTTGAAGGACCCAACCCGGAAATGTTACTGTTCTGGTGGTTTATCTGCACGACAGAGCGGTAGCTTGAATTGAACTCACGTTTGAAATCGTCTGCTTTTCACAAGAGGTTGACCTTATTACAAACTGCTGAAATAAAAGTCGGAAACCTGGAGAAGCTCTTAAATACAGTGAAACCCCTCCCCCCCCCCCCCGAAGGCACTAAAGCAAGAATTTCAAAGTGAATAGGCTAAGAAAAAGAACTGGTATAGCTGTCGTAAGGCCCAGGTCCCAGAAAATCGCTGTGACAAAAGGTACTCATGCTAGCTCTGCTTTTCAACAAAACATGCGCCAAACAGGGATAAATAAAGGGTTAATATATGCAGTCGTTTAAATAAAACCATCAGAAAAACATGAATACACTCCAAACAACTGTGTAATCACAACAACAAAAACATTATTGGGTGACTCTTACTGGGAAGTGCCGCGTTTCTTAAATTAAGGTGTACACGTGGCCACAGCAGCCATTATATGTGGACGTATGCTTCAAAATAGTGAATTGTTTGGCTAGTTAGTTTACACTTGGCCTAGAGGAGCGAAAGCTTGGAATCGAAGGAAGACTACTTAGAAGGCGCTCAACTTGCAACCGAGTGTACTTCTTAAAGTATCTCGGTTCTAAAAGAAATGGTCACGCACAATCACACCTGATTTTCACTGAACCAACAACAAATATCTGAGTAAAAAAATGTTTTAGCAATGTACTTTACCGTGACAAGGGCATGCTTATTCATTGTTTTTATTGAACTGCATTCGAGAAGGTCTATTATTGCCTTCATTGTCAAACGCACCGATGATGCACTAATGCGTGCATCTGCGGCAATTCTAATCTTTCCCACCTGTAATATTTTGCGCTCACACCCTGCCGTGGTGATCTAGTGGCTAAGGTACTCGGCTGCTGACCCGCAGGTCGCGGGTTGAAATCGCGGCTGCAGCGGCTGCATTTCTGATGGAGGCGGAAATGTTGTAGGCCCGTGTACTCAGATTTGGGTGCACGTTAAAGAACCCCACGTGGTCGAAATTTCCGGAGCCCTCCAATACGGCGTCTATCATAATCATATAGTGGTTTTCGGACGTTAAACCCCACATATCAATCAATCGTTATTTTGCGCTCACACTTGTCCTCAGCCCTGCCCTTGACATTGGCCTCCTCTAAAAGTGCATTGCCACCAAACGTACTGCAATGCGCAGGAAGGTGCGCCCCATCGTTCTGAGCATTCATCGTTGTTGCGTGCTCTCAGAGTCTATCATTAGGAAAATGGCCTGTTTGGGCGATGTATGCTTTACCACAGCTGAATGGTATCTTGTATAGCATTGCGGTAGCACAACGAACAAATGTTTTCTTATGCTTTTTGGCATACTTATTTCTTTGTTCTTTCACCTGCAAGAAGTGCACAAACGGAAAAGCTTTCAGGATTCCGTGAAGACGAAGTCTGTGGTTGCTCTGAAGCTATTAAGGTTGCGTGAAATTGTTTACTTGTAAGGAATTGCAACAAACTTGTTCAACTTGTTGGACCTCTGTCAGGTGGGCATGCTGGGTGAAGCCGCCGTCTCCTTCAGAAGGCGGGATGCTATGGCGATTAGCAATGTGGAAAGAAAACCCAAGGTTTGAAGGCCCAAAATCAGGTGTCAAAGATGAAGTTGACCTTGAGAGAGCATGACTTGGTCAGAGCCAAGTTGAGGCACGAAGAAGCAATCCCCGTTTTCCCCAGTATATTACGTAAGATTCGATTGGGAGGATAGCTTTTTTCGACCGTGCCTTATACTCCCAAAAAATGTGGTCGTCAGATGTTTACTGCATCGCATCATTGTCAAAAAGGTCCATTGTAAACGATAATGAGAGTGAACCCTGCTTAAAGCAGTGTTCAACGAACAATACGATCCAGTTTTTGGTTTTGCATTGTTTTTCAACTGTGACGACCACATTCGCTGGGTGTATTAGCCACGGTCAAAAAAAAATATCCTCCCATACGACTCTTCCCATACTATACTGGTGAAAACAGGGATCGCTTCTTCATGCCTCAACACGACTGACCAAGGTTTTCTACCATAAGACAGCCTTAGCTTTGAATGCAAGATTTTGCACCTTCTAACTTCAAGTTTTTCTTCCACATTGCTAGTTGCCATGGCATCCTTCTCTTTGTAGCAGATTGTGACTCCACTGAGCGTGCCAACATGACAGAAGTCCAACAAGTTTGTTATAATTCTTTAGGCTCACATGATTTCACACAACCTTAAGAGAATTTTCCAAGCATAACGTAGACCTCGTCTTCTCAGCACCCTTAAAGCTTTTTCATTTATGCACTCTCGCACATGACAGAAGAGAGAAAGAAGTCTGTTGAAAGAAACAAAAGAAGGCATTTGTTTCCTGTGCTACGGAAGTGGTATATAACATACTTGTCAGTTGTGGCAAAGCTTACATCGGCCAAAGAGGCCGATGCCATAACGATGGACTGGGAGGGCACGTAACTATGGTGAATGCTCGGAGCAATGGGGTCACCTTTCTGTGCATTGCAGTACATGTGGCTGCAATGCAAATTTAGAGAAGGCGAACGTCAAGGGCAGGGCTAAGGGGAGGTGTGAGCGCAAAATCTTACATGCGCAAAAGATCAGAATTGCCGCAAATGTATTCATGAGTGCATTTTCAGTGCATCGGACAATGAAAAAAAAATAAACTACTTTGAATGCAGTTTAGTCTTAAAACTGAGTAAGCATGCCCCATTCATGGTATCGTAGACTGTTAGCATGTTGTTTTTACCCTGATATTTGTTGTTGGTTCAGTGAAAATCGGGTGTGACTGTGCCTGCACATTTGTTTTCGCACTGAGATACTTTTCAGAATAAACTCGGTTTCAAGTTGAACATCTTCTAAGTAATCTTTTTTCCTTCCAAGTCTTTGCTCTTCTAGGCCCAATATAACTAGAAGTGTGGGCAAAACAAAGTTGATCTCGGATTGTTGTAAGCAACTATGCAAGAGAGAGAGTGGATGTGTTAGGGTGATGCTGTGTAAATGAGGGATGCAAAGTGCAACCTGCTGCTTTGTTAACTCCTTTCAAAGAAAGTGAACAGAAGTTACCTTTGCTGCTGTAAAATTACGGCCTTAAAAAGGTTTCTTGAAGCGATGAATTTCTTTGCAGTGCATTAAAACAGCGTAGATATTCTGCACGTGGAGCTTTCAAGCACATTTTTTTAATTGCTTTGTGCTGTCAAAAACTTCAATATACAAAAGCTTGTGCCAGGGCAGCATTGTGATCGGTGTAGCTAATATTGATGTATAGTGTCGAATAGACCAGTAGGGACTCGAGATGAATAGCTGCATACGAGTTCATGTTTACGTTTTCATTTTCTGTACAGCTGTACTACCAAAAGATGTCCCCAATTTATCTTCAAATGCGAAATTGTCTTCCTCCTGAAGTGCCGAGCTGCATGTTTTTGCAGCAGGAATAAGAAGCAAAATCATGACTCAAAAAACTGCAGTGCACAGCTGCAGCACCTAATAGGGTGAGCAAGGAAGTGTGCTTTTTTTTTGCAAAATAATATGTATTTTCCGTGCATTGTTCTCTATGTCTTTATTGATGCTGTGCCCACTTGAGTTCTCGCCACAAGACAGCAGTATGGCATTTACTGCACATTTGTTGAATGAAACATAACAGACACCTTACTTGATTTGCCATCCATGCCTGTTACGACCACTTTTGTGACATCTCACCTGAGCAAGCCTATTCATTGTAAAAAAGCGTCAACGGGGATATTGAGCCTTCTAGCTACTCTCGAGAGCTAATATGCCACCTGATAAAGTCAAGGCAGTACACATTACCTGAATGGTTCTCGTTCACATATAGCCTTCTTACCGGTTTTACCTTCTTGAATAAAGGCTTCAGGAACATCTGTATGTAGCATCATATTGCTGCCTGCAGCCGAAAGGTGGTGTACTACCTAAAGGCCTAAACTCTGCATCTTATGCTCACATGAACTTTGAAAGAAGGTTTCATACAAGACACAATTCCTCTTTTCACAAATTTACAATGGGCACAGACATAGGCTTTCAGATTTACTGATGTTTAGTGCAGACTTATCACTACAGGGCAAGACGATGGGGGACACACACAGGCACTTGTGTGTGTGTGTGGGCCGAGTTCAAGATGTCATCCTTTCTCTTTTTTCAATTTATTTTATTAGGTCAGCACTGAACATCAACAACGCCAGAAGTCAACCTATGCTAAAAGCTTGTGCGATTAAGGCCAGCACAATGGAAAGTAATAAAAGAGAATTTATGTCGTTATGTATAAAATCTGCTTTCAAAAGCTTGTGTCAGTGTAAAATGCAGTACAGCTTTTACATACGGGTATTACATGATGTTTTGGCTGCAAGCTATAATGCTGCTCCTAACGGTCCGTTATCGAAGCAGTGAATTTTAAAAAAACTCAAGAGGGTGATGTGTGACTGTGTGCTGTCGAGCCAGTTGTGGTGCCTTACTTTCATGCTGTTACACGTGAACTCAAGAGAGTGGTTAGCACCGACGATATCTCTATGGCTCTTTCTGTATGAAACAAGCTTGCTAAGCAGTGCTTCTGAATATGTGGGGGAGGGAGGAGGGAGGGTAGCATACGCTAGTCAAGCATGGAGTCTGCTATATCCCGCGCAGCACCTTTGATACACACAATACTTCATTCTAGTAGCAAGACCTGCATCGCGGTAAACTGGTCATTGAATAATCAAGCAACTTAAGGAATATGCACAATGCATAAATGATATTTCAAAAGGAAGATATCTTTTTGCTCATATGAACTATACTGCTGCAGCTGTGCCTCATGATTTTGTGAGACGCTGATTTTTGGCAGAAGCAAGAGTAAATATTTAAATATGTTGCTTGCACCTAAGCCTCCCAAGTCAAGAAAATGGGAAAGCTTTGTATCATTGATATCTCTATATTTTTTCTAAACCTGTTAATTTTCAATTTGTGCAATAACTTCATTGTTAACTATCAGTGTGCTGGAGTGTAATGTCTTTTGCTGCATATGCAATGTTATGTAGACATGGCATTTATAAGTGGCCGACTGTTCATTCACATTAGACAAGAACTTTTAAAAATCTGAATCATCAAGTGTCCGATAGAAAGGACTCGCCAGAAAAAGAGCCCCTTTATTGACCCAGTGGCCAGGAAAAGTAGTGCACGTCTGCACACAAGCACATTTATAGGCAAATAAGTCTGCCTGGCTTTTAGCTAGTGTTTGGCCATAACTGTAGGTAATAGCACTGCTAAGGCACGTGCTAAATCTGCATAGCATTGGTGTGGGTGGCACTTCAGGGGAGTCATCATAAGCCACTGTTCACCCATCGTTTCCCGACTCAAACTTCTTAGGAGCATCAGATTGAAGTCTCCCTACTTTGGTCTTGCGAAATTATTGCAGCTTCTTTCAGCCGCCATCTGTGTCTTGTTAAATTCTGAATTCTCTTGTTAGTGCCAACGACACAAATGGAATTGTTAGCATTGGAGCCTTTTAGCAGGCTTTGCAACAAACAAGAAAGCAAGACAGCAAAACATGCTTGACCAGAGAAGTAATGTACAAGCAAACTCTCAAATGCCAAAATGACTAAGCTGCATAAAGCTGGTTCAGGCTACAGCACTCGTGTTTTTTTTTTTGCTGCGTACGTGTGGCCAATTTGGGTGATAACCAAGCCGATTCTGAGTAAGGCTTGGCTTGGCTTGCAGTGTGGTTGTGGTACTCATTCAATGATACCCGGCCAAAAATGGTCATTACGTGCAGCCCAAAAACGCATGGCCTTCGAAATTGACAATTGCAATTTTTGGATTGACTCCTGCCCTGACACAATCTCCAGCCATATTCACTGCAACCTTTTAGTGCTGGCAACCTAGGTATTGTAAAAACAATGCGGGCAGCTGGTCATGGCATTGGACGCTGTATTCGATAAGCCAGCCGGAATGCCATAAATATGAACAGTGCACCGTGAGGCATCCAAATTCTCGGTCCTGAGTTTGCAGCGCTTCAGTGGTACAAGTGGCGGTGCCACAAAGATGTCCGAATGAATGGGCATGTTTCAATTTTCAACGTTCGAAGAAACGGTGGGTGACTGTACATGCTGCCAAAAAAACACAATGTTGTTAGTGCCAGTGCTGGTCTTTTTTATTCTTTGGGGGGTCTGCCTGGCTTGCACTCAAGACTTCTCCATAAAAAAGGTGTGCTTCATGACAGACAATTATAAGTATATATAGACAGAGTGTGCATGTGTGTATAAAAAGTCTAAGAAAGGCTTTTTTTCTGGCATTGTTACATCGCAGGCACACTTGCAACGCGCACGCACTATGGTAGCAGATGTAACCCCCCTGACGTGCGAAATGTCGGTCATCTCAGTATTTTGTCAGGCTAAATCAAGTTTTAGTGGCTCGTGTTGAAGGACTGTGCTAGTGCATAATACAGAAACTGATTTAACAGCAACATGACGTACCATGAACATTTGAGTTAGCCTCACAATACATGACCACCTGACCTAAATAAATTCTCAACGATTCCCTTACTGCACTTACTTAGCACCAGCAGACTCTTTCTTCTTTCCCAAAGTGAAATCTGCCTGCAATGCACACCATAATGCTTCTTCAGAGAAACTTGTGTGCATGCCCTTGAAGGAATCCTGAGAGCGAAAGGTTTGTTTGCAACTTTTTTACAAAAATTTGTAGCTTTTCTTGTGGTAATACCGACATTGAAACATCACTACTCTAACACGTTGTTTATACAGTACAAGTGGAATAATTATGATATTGTGTTGATTGAAAACGCCCGCCTAAATATCCTAAAAGAATATCTCCCCACAGCATGAAATTGCCTGAGACTGCATACGCAAAAGCATCGGTCAAGAGACTGATGCTTCAGCACATGCAGTCTCGAATAATCGGGAGTCCTGCGAGTGGCGAAGAATGAATAAATAATGTGAGTCATTTGATCATATCCCCCTGATATAGAAAGAGGACAACTACTGCCGTAAGCAGCCTAAACCACTGTGAGAGCAGCCCTCAACAGAGTGAGGGGGAGAGGGGTGAGGCGGCAGTTGCGGTATGGTGCACACCCCACAAATGTTCTCTATTGTTGACAATACTCCCCTTACTCACAGAACGTCACGCACGACCTCTGTTTGCATCAAATCAGTAGATGTCAATTGATGCTAAAAACTCGGATGAGCGCTCACCCTTAGCTTTAAAACCAAATTAAAATATTTTTAGGCAGCGCTTTTCAATAGCAATTGCTCACAAATGCCCCCGCATGCTGGACTGTCAGATGACACGAGCATTTCGAGTTTCCAAATTTGGTGTCAAGGGTCATTCAAAAACTTTTCGGAATTAATCTACAAAAAGGCATTTTAGTACTGAAAAAGCCATAGGCAAAACTGTGTTGGTGCTCAAAACTTCTAAGGCTTTGGAATTACTAAGCAGCATCTTGAATAAACTTGTTTTTTCAGAACTTTTCCATATACAAAAGGTTTATCAAGGTAAGCTCGAGTTTTCATGGAAAGAATACACAGACACACAGAAGTACAGGTTGCAAGAAATATATGGCTGCACGACCCATGAATGTGTTGAAGTGTTAACACTGCTAGTAACCATGCCGGCGAGTATAGAACACTTTTCCTGCCTGCTGAAATGGTAAAGAACGTGATATTTTATGAGATAGAAGCTGACTATTATTTCTTACATACTACCTGAGGGCATCCAGTCTGACATAATGCAACCCTTACTATGAATGAACTGAATAAGAGGGACTTTAGGACTTGTGTACCTGCGTTAGGTACGTTAGAACTAATAAACGATTTGGTAGAGCATCGGACGTATTCCAAGTTGGCAGGTTTGGTCTCTGCCGAAAACCCATATTTTTGTGCACCTTCTCTACATTTACACTATAATCACTGAAAAACACCTCCTATAATTTGATTGGTTCTCTTCCTATTACTAACATTTTGTTAAGGTTGGAAAACGAGCTGTTAACATTCCCCTTTTTTTCATTCCATACTATGAAGGGATTTAATGATGGTGAGCACTTCGCACGAAACAGAGGTCTAGCATGAATCTTCTCGCAGGCACTCAGGTTTCACCTCTCAAACTAAGGCAATAATATCAGGTGGGTTTCAGGAAACAGTGAGTTCATTCACCTTTGTCTACCCTATCTTCAAATTCCGCGAAGTTATGGTAAGGCAATATTTGTAACTATTTTGTTGGGCACTTTGGCTACAAGCTTCGACTTTTTTGAGAAACTTGTTCTCGATTTTGAAACTAGCATTTTACCTTCCCTTACATCACCACAGTGATGTAATTTTTGCTCATAGTTAGTAATGAATCATCTAAAAACTCTTCAGTACAATCCCTGTTTCGAACGCCGGTTCTTTTAAAATTCTACTGTGCCCCATTATATGAAATTTTGGCTCACCAAGCACTTGACATGTTGTTCATGCCAAAACAGATAAAATTATTCTTAACACCACCAAAATAAGACATGGTTGTGAAACATGCCTTGTCAACTTTAATTGGACAAACCATGCGTGGTTATAGAATATTTTTCTATTGGTTCAACAGCATCGACACTGCATGTTACAACTTTGCTCAGTTTCGCTTAGTGTTGCAATTGTGTTGCGCCTGTGCTAGGCCGTTCCTATCTGATATCAGTCCGGTGTACTTGCGCTACTCGCAATGGCTTTTAAGTTCAAACACGAAGTAGCCCAATCATCAACTCTTGTTTAAAGTGTTGCCTTTCTTTCTTCTATCGCAGGAAGAAGCGCTCTTTCGGCCTTGTCTGGTGCAGAAAAACATATTGTCCTTTGCGCTTCACTATGATGGGGAGCTTATTTGTTATGTGTAATCAGCATTTTCTGGAAAAGCCTACCTTCTTACGCATCATGTGGAATACACATGAAAAGCGCACAGAGAATTGTTCACAGAGCCTGCATTATTCAACTTTTATACGAACAGTTGCATTTGAAGCTATTGACATGAATTAAAAATAGCGGTGTATATTTTGCCCTGCTGCTCTTTTTTATCTCACAAAGGTGCCTCTCTGCTGTTACTATCATGATTAGTTTTGTTGCAGGTAATGGTAACGTTTTCATTGACACTACTTTTGCCTTAAGAGTGCTGGCAGAGTATTTGAACCACTACATATGTTGTATAAATGCTGACTCAGTACGATTTTTATGGAGTCATGGTTCCTGAATACACCACTGGTTTTGTGACTGGGCACAGACCCATACATTGACACATGTATACATGTCCAGTATATTGTGCCTTGCAAACCAGCGCAAGGAAGCTCAATGCAAAAATTTGGTAAATTTAACTGGTTGGTTGGTGTTACAGTCAGTGCAGCATCGATTTTTCACCTGCCATGACCTCTGTAATTGACACCATAATCAATACACTACAGTTATTCTCCACAATGTCTTTCCCTGGTCTAATTGTCAATTGAATTACGGTTGCTGTGTTTAACGAAAAAAGCCCATTGAAAACGCTCTCCTTTTTTGTTAATTTATATTGAGCTAGTGCGTTATAACTGGGTCATGACATGCCAAGCCAAACAGCGTTCTTCAGACCATCACAAATATGGCTGAAAAAGTTTCACGTTTCTCAAATAACTTGTCCTGGTTGTTTATTTTGGTTGCCAAAATCTTCGTGCCTATTGTAGGTCTATAGTTTTGTGCCGACTGAGCTAGAATGCATCAAAAATCTTTTTTTTTTCATAAAATGTTTTGCAATTCACTTCGATAAAACGGTATTTGTGGCAAGCTAATGGAACATTGTAACTGTAAAACTAATGACTCATTTATGTATATCAATTCTTCGAATGCTTCTCACACAAGCTAAACTGAATAGTTGCTAAATTCGGTATTTTTTCAGGAAACCTGGCAAGCTGAAAGAGCACAAATAGATTTTGTGCAGCTTGGTTGTTTGACATGCTAAAAATTGAAAATAATTTATGTGCCTAAAAGTGTAGCAGATCGTCTGAGAAATGAATTGTGATTTGCACTTTTTTGGAAGGTAATACTCTGTATTCAGCGTCAAAACCCACCATGGTGCTTGAGCATAAATTATGTATATCTCACTTGGAAGCGTTATGTATTAGCTGAACATATGCGCAGTCTCTGTCTTGCGCTTGTCCCTGTTTTTGTGTTCGCATCTAAGTAGTGCGCTCTCATTTCAAAACAATCTTGTATCACAAACTCTACCCAATCAAATATATTGGCAGTCACTAGAGAGTCATATTTTTTGAACTAAAGTATTGAAAAAAATAAATGCTTCTTTTACAACTTTTACCTACGTAACTCTGCAGCATGATTCAATTGCAAAGGCAGTCTTCAGCCCAAGCCCACTGATAGAATAGTAGACGGCAATCTTAGTGCCATCTGTAAAGCAACTGTAAAGGAAATGTAACAGAGGTGCACCGCTAGAAATGGGGCTAGAGTTTGGTCACAGGTAGTATAGTAAAAGAAATACTTTTTGTGTGGGGTTGTGTGAAGGCAAAGTGATGCCAGCCACACATATGTACAGTCGTGTGGGCATTTGCATCTTCAAGTATATATGCTTATCAATACCTGAAATTGAAAAATGACTGAACAGAAAGGGGGAGGGGGAGTGGAGCAACTCTCTCTCTTCTTTCCTAGTGATGACTCAGAAATGAGCTATCAAGCTGCCAATGAAGTATACGATATGCAATAACACTACATTACCCACAACATAAGTGAGAGAAGACAGTTGGCTAGCCTTTGAGATCTTACTCTAAAGTTCTTCATTTGTGTGTACTCGTATGACAGGGTTTGGGTCTCAAGGAACAAGTTAGTCTCCTGAAAGCTGAAAAAAAAGAATTTGTATTAAGACTGCGTTATCAGTGTATTTCGTGAATGGTACTTGCATGCGTAATATGAATAAAATTTTAAGTGTGTATAACACTCCTGCATTTGCAGAAGTTCATAGGAACGTAGCATTTGTGACTGTATATCTGTAATGCTGGATGGTTCATCTCAAGTCACCACGTTCTCTGTTATGCAGTTCTTTAAGCAATAAAATGCTGGTGAAAAGTCTATTTCCTTGTAGATAGGATGACGTTTGCCATCTGCATTCCTGGGCCAGTCGGCTTGAGTTGAGGGTTACCTTTGCAAATGCATCATGCTGCATGAGTTGCAGACGTAAAAAACTGTAAAGAATCCTTGACTTCAAAAAATATTTTTGAAGTTAAAAAGTAATACTGTCTGGTACCTGCTCCTATGTTTAGCTGATATATGACACTTTCAAATAAGCCATCGTGCATATTTTAGCCCCTACACCAAGGTAAGTTTTTTTGCTGCTGTATACAAAGTTTTCTGATAAAAAGTGAAAATTTTTTCAGATGATCTGCTACACCTTGATTACCTAAATTACTTTTATTTGTAGCATGTCAAACATGCTGATTGCACATTTGTATGTGTGCTCTTTGAGCTAGCTAAGATCCTGGAAAAACATGCTTCAACAAATTCATGCATTTCGCTCGTGTGAAAAGCCCTCCAAGAATTGATATACATATATAGGTCATTATTTTTGCAGTTGCTAAATTGATTACCTTGCCGTAAATACCATTTCATTGAGTGCATTTCAAAAACATCTTTTCAAAAAAATTGTTTTTTAATGGCCTCCAGCTCAGTCGGCGAAAAACTAGACGCTCTTATAAATATGCAGGAATGTTTTCGGCAACGGAAATAAATGAGCAGGACAAGTTTCGATGTTCGAGAAACACGTGAAAGTTATTTCACCTATATTTGCGTTGATCGGAAACACGCTTGAATATTTGAAATGACATTACCCAACTGCGCGCAAATATGCTAGCTGAGGTCAGTGATGATTTATTATTGTGTAGTCTAAGCTCTACCGTTGTATTCCTGTATTTTTTATTTTTTCTGTGTTTGTGCCGGTTTGCGCCATTGTCAATTTTAAATGCAATATGCTAGAAAAGTTGATTGCTTTGTTTGATTTGTGGTGTTTAACGTCCCAAAACCACTATATGGTCATGAGAGACGCCGTAGTGGAAGGCTCCGGGAATTTCGACCACCTGGGGTTCTTTAACGTGCACCCGAATCTGAGTAAACGAGCCTACAACATTTCCGCCTCCATCGAAAATGCAGCCGCCACAGCCGGGATTTGATCCCGTGACCTGCGGGTCCACAGCCGAGTATCGCTAGTCTCAAGACCACCGTGGCTGGGCTATGCTATAAAAGTTCGAGCTTAGACAAGCTTCAATGTAATCTTTAGAAAGCACTAGCATAGCATACATAAAAAATAAGACATAAAAAGCCGCCTGCTTGTTCTGTCCTGTTTTTCAATGTTGTATGCATTGTTAGTACTTTTAATGTATTACCCAGTTCTGTGGCATGTGCGTTTCTTCATATGTTCATGGATGCTTTCTTTGAGCTTGATCGATATGGTCGCCAATAGTACTGAAGCAACAAATTTACTGTAGTAAAGTCTTCAACCTCTCTTGTACTAGTGTGATTTGAAGTCGATTAGGGGTAGTCTGGTGAAAATTGCTTTGCTGACACTTGAAAGCTAATTCAATAGCGCCTTCAGGTTTTTTCTTAGATAAGAATATAGGTGCATTCATTGAATGCATTTGAGGATCGCCTGTTTATTCTATATTTTAGATGTGTGCTACGGGAAAATGTCCAAAAATCTCTCAGGGACTTCAGTCACTGGTATAGCATTTAATTCAAACAAGTGCCGCGAGTTCATTTCTTGCCACATTATATTTAGGTTCTACTTATATGTTATTAGGAATAGCCATATACAGCACCAGAGCTGCGGAAATGCACTTTTTACTAAATCGGGTGGTATCCAACTAGAGGTTTTGCAGATTTCTAGTCAGATACTCTAATGGGATTGGCAAAGTGTGTTTGAATGCCTGTATTTCTCTAGATTTTTGTTCTAGATTTGTTCATACTCTACAAATTCCGTGATGAATAATCATGCTCACTCCTGGAAAATGAACACAACAGTTGTACTTTGTGTGTAATTTAACCCCCAAAATAAATATTCCGCAAGTCTTCAGTCTGTGTGCTCTCGTAGTGCATAAACAGGAACTCTGAAAGAACCCGTGTTTGGCTTTGGTGTTTGGGCTCTATATAAACTTTTGTTCGCGCCTAATTTTTTTATAATGCAGCCATGCGAGAATGCTTGCTGAGAGGGAATTCTGCCTGAAGTGGTTACTGCCATTCAATTCCAAAGGTACTCCTAAAACAGGCGAGTGAGAACGTCCTAGATTTTACCTGTGTAGTTCGAAATGGAATAAAAAGAAGACAAAAACAGCGTAGTCACGTGACTAAAATACTCCCGGTCTGCCTCTAGAACACGCCATTGAAAGGGGTAAAGTATTATCCTAATTACGCCGAAATTACTCCCAAGTAGGAACCATAAAACTCCGGGTTCATTTTCATTGAGCCACAAAGGGAGTAAACGTTTTGCCTAATGTACGCCCTTTGTATGCCCTACCACATGCACTCTGAAAAAATATCGAGTGAAAAGGGTGTCTTTTTGTCCCTGCAACAATATTCATCAGGCTTGCGTGCGCTTCCTTTTTGGAAAACTCAGCGCTGGCCACTTTCCTCTCGAGAATGCGATGTAACCCTGATAATGGGCATGTCGATCGTCACCGGAATGTACCGGGCGCGGGGCGATAGCGCAAGGATGGAACGCAATATAGGTGTCGATTATTGTTGTAGTACAAAAATACACCCTTTTACTCACTCTTTTTTTAGAGTGAGGGCGTGTTTCTTTACTACCATTTCGAGGGTGTAAAAACATGTACAGATGAGAGTGATCTGGAGGACAAGCCAAATACTCCCATCTGGGTTTTTTTTTTGTTTACAGCGTGGCGCCGATAAGGAGTTCAGATTGAAAAGGACTGCCCGAATTTCTGCCACCCTAAAATCTGCGTCTAATTTATCATAGGCGACTCCATCGTAATCAGTGTGTTAGGCATTGGAGCTGCTTCCGCCTAAAG